ATGGTGAGAATAACTCCCTAATAAACAGTCCTCCAGTACAGAATGATTCCCTTCCCAAATACCATGCCCTTCCTCCCCGTTTCAATTGCAGCCGAAAAGCAGTAGTGAAGCAGAGGCTGACATCCGGCCCTCCTCCAGAAAAGGACGGTCACGCCTGCAGAAAGGCGCCAGGAATTGAACGGGCCGGATGCCACGATCTTAGTTTTCTTAATGTTGAGTTTCAAGCCAGCTTTTGCACTCTCCTTCTTCACCTGCATCAAGAGGCTCTTTAGTTCCTCTTCACTTTCTGCCATTAGAGTGGCGTCATCTAACTATCTGAGATTGTTGATATTTCTCAATCTTAATTCCAATTTTTGATTCATCTAGCCCCGCCTTTCTCATGATGTGCTCTGCATATAAGTTCAATAGGCAGGGCGACAGTATACAGCCGTGATGGCAAACCTACAGCACATGTCCCGGAAGTGGCATGTGGAGTCATGTTGCCCGGCATATGTGGCATCGCCCATTCCTCTTCCAGGTTTCTGGCGTGCAGGTGCACGTGGCAATCAGCTGTCTTGTGTGTGTGGCAGTACCAGAAACCGAAAGAGCTGCTCTTCTGTTTTCTGGTGTGAGCATGCATGCCGGGCAACTGATCGGTGAGTTTACATGCGCGGCAGTAACCAGAAGACTTGCTGGGCCGTGCCAGAAACCAGAAATTCGTTTTCTGGTGTGTGCGTGCCCCCTGGGCAGCTCCTCTTCCTGGTCCCGGCTCAGACGTAAAAAGTGCTCGCATGCAAATCGCTTGCGCACATTCAAAGTGGTCCCCTTTTGGCACTCGTTGCCCTGCGCGCACCCCTGCGCTCCCTTTTTGGTACTCAGTGCCAAAAAGGTTCACTATCACCAGTATAACAGCCTTGTCGGACTCCTTTCCCGATTTTGAACCAATCAGTGGTTCTGTGTCCATTTCTCACTGTTGCTTCTTGACCCGCATAAAGATTCTCAAGAGACAAATAAGATGGTCTAGGATTCTATGTTGTGCGTTAAATTAGATGCCTTCATTCTACTCGCTGGATATTAAGCCACGAAGCAAAGCCAGACCATAATGATCCCGGTTGCAAACGCACAAATATCTTATTTTTAAGCGAGCTACTTCTTTCCTTTTTCGACATCTGGCACCTTCTCAGTTTCTTTCCCCCCGCGAGACCCTGTTGACCACCTTGGCAGTCTTTGAAAACCGTTTTCTGACGTCGTTGGTTGTGCAGTTAAAAAAAAAGGAGATGAGGATCAACTCCGGGCAGAGAAATTCATTAAAAGGAGTCAGCCGGAGCAGAACATAAAACGCATCCCTCTTCATTAGAGGGATGGCTGGGGTGAAGGTTAGCGAGGAGAATTTATTGGCTGAGAAGACAATAGGATTTTATGTCATGGTAGTCGTAGTGTTTTATTGAGCAGGTGGTTTATTACCAGGAAATCCTCTTCGTCTTTGTCACACATCTATCCCTTAAATTCTCTCTCTCTCTCTCTCTCTCTCTCTCTCTCTCTCTCTCTCTCTCTGTCTTTCTCTTCTTTTTCTTTGTGTGTGTGTCACTCTCTGCCTCTCTCTCTCTCTTTCTCCCTCTGTCCTTGTCTTTCTCTGTCTCTCTTTCTGTGTGTCTTTCTCTCTGTGTGTCTGTGTCTCTCTTTTTCTCTCTCTCTTTCTCTCTCTCTCTCTGTCTCTCTCTGTCTNACAGAGTGAGCTCCCGTTACTTGTCCCAGCTTCTGCCAACCTAGCAGTTCGAAAGCATGTAAAAATGCAAGTAGAAAAATAGGAACCACCTTTGGAAGGGAACAGCGTTCTGTGTGCCTTCGGTGTTGAGTCATGCCGGCCACATGACCACAGAGATGTCTTTGGAGAGCGCTGGCTTTGGAACAGATACGAGCATTGCCCCTTAGAGTCAGGAACGTTTACCTTTAAGAAGCATAAATCTGATTTCCCCTTCAGCTCCATGGAACCTTATTTGGTTGTTCTGTAAACCGCTTAGAGAGGGCTGAAAGCCCTATGAAGCGGTATATAAGTCGAACTGCTATTGCTACTGCTATTGATATGCATAATTTTGCGCTTTTAGCCTCAGATCTTGCCTTACTTTCGCTGCTATCAGTTCGTATCCAGTAAAAGTACCTTTTCTCTAAAACAATGGAGTTGAGGGTTTTTCTTTCCTGGATTTCCTCAAAGAGCCACGTCTGACAGTTCCGCTTTCTAAGAGGGTACCAAACTTGCAACTTCCCCTCCTCTTTAACTTCCAAACTTTCCCCCCACCCCCATCCCTCTTTCAGATGTATAGACATCCTGGAATTGTCCGAGCGCCAAGACCTCTTGACGTTCCATTCCCATAGTCTGAAGTTGTACTGTGCTGTGTGCGCCTTGGGCAACAACCGGGTGGCCCATGCCTTGTGTAGCCACGTGGACGAGTCGCAATTGCTTTACACCATCGAGAGCAACCACCTCCCAGGCCTGCTGCGTAGTGGCTACTACGACCTCCTTATCAGCATGCACCTGGAGTCGGCCAAGCGCTCCCGTCTCATGATGAACAGCGAGTTCATTGTCCCCATGACGGACGAGACCAAGAGGATCACGCTCTTCCCGGACGGCATGAAGAAACCGGGATTGCCCGGGGTGGGCATGAGCACCTGCTTACGTCCTCCGCTCCACTTCTCCGACACCTGTTTCGTCAGCACCAGCTCTGAGCTCTACCAGCTGAGTCCTTCCATCCCGCTGGATGCGCTGAAGGTGAAGGCCATCAACATGCTGACGGAAGCCGTCCAAGACGGAGGGCAACATACCCGCGACCCTGTGGGGGGTAGCGTGGAGTTCCAGTTCGTGCCCGTTCTCAAGTTGGTCTGCACCCTCCTCATCATGGGTGTGTTTGAGGATGAGGACGTGCGCCATATCCTCAAGATGATCGACCCCAGCGTCTTTGGGGAATCCAAAGAGGAGGAGGAGGAAGTTCCGGAAGGCGGCGCTGAAGAGGCGGCGGGGGAAGGAGAAGACCAGGGCTATGTGGAGGAGGAAGAAGCAGGAGAGGAAGAAGAGGAGGAGGTGGAAGAAGAGGAGGAGGAAGAGGAGAAAGAGGCTGGAGGGGAGCAGAAGGAAGAAGCCGAAGAAGGAGAAAAGCAGGAGCTGAAGGCCATTGAGGCTGGGGAAGCGGAAGCCAAAGAGGATGAGGAAGGGCTGGAGGAAGGCCTGCTGCAAATGAAGCTTCCCGAATCAGTCAAGTTGCAGGTAAAAGGAGGAGGTCTGAGACGGTGGTGGGTTTCAAAAAAAATTCGAACCTACTCTGTGGGTGTGGCCTCCTTTGTGGGAGTGGCTTGCCGGCCATGTGACCTGGTGGGAGTGGCTT